ACTACAGCGGCGCCGAGGAGGAGGAGGACGAGGCGGCGGCGCCGAGCCGGCACGACGCGCGCGCGGAGAAGGAGCTGTCGCACATCGAGGAGCTCGAGCGCGAGAACCTGCAGCCGGCGGACGAGAAGGCCTGGGAGCTGCGGGGCGAGGTCGGCGCCGGCGAGCGGCCGCGGAACTCGCTGCTCGGCGTCGACGCGTCGTGGGACGGCCGCAAGGGCGGCGGCGCGCCGCCGCTCGACGCGGACTTCAGCGCGGCCGTCGAGGCGGCCATCAGGGAGCGCGTCAAGGAGGAGCGCTGGGACGACATCGTCGCGCGCGAGGTCCTCGAGTCGGCCTACGCGGAGCGCGGCGCCAAGGACCGCGCGCGCGCCGCGGCCGACGACGACGACGGCGAGCTCGGCAAAAAGGCCGCGGTCGGCCTCGGCGAGGAGTACGAGCGCGACTACGTCGCCCGGCGCGAGGCCGCCGCGGGCGGCGACGCCGCGCCCACGGCGCCGCCGCGCGACGACGCGCTCGACGCGCTGTGGGCCAAGCTGTCGCGGAAGCTCGACGGCCTCTCGCATTTCGCGCCCGCGCCGGAGGTGCCCGCGCTCGACGTCCTCGGCGCGGCGAAGAAGACGCACGCCGCCGCCGTGAGCTTCGAGGAGGCGACGCCGGGCGCCGTGGCCGCCGCCGACGGCGCCGCGCCCGAGGAGGTCCACGCGAAGAAGCGCGGCCGCGACGGTTTGCTCATGGCGCCCGCGGAGGCGACGCGCGAGGAGAAGAAGGCGAAGCGGAGCGCGAAGAAGAAGGCGCGCAACGCGAAGCGCAAGAAGCTGCGGAGCGACGCGCGCGTCGTCGCCCGCGTCGACCCGGGCATGGGCAACCCCTACGAGAAGGAGAAGCTCCGCAAGGCGCTCGCGGGCGACGGCGCGCCCGCGGCCGCCGTCGACGCGCGCGGCGGCGACTACGGCAAGTCGTCCAAGTTCTTCGAGCAGCTCCAGCGCGACGTCTCCGCGGCCGTCCGCGGCGGCCGCGCCGACTACGCCGCGCCCGAGCCCCCGAAGCGGAAGCGCGCGAAGCGCGCGGACGCCGCGAAGCTCGGGTAACCTCCTACGCCGCTTCGCCGAGCCTTTTTTTAGCCGAGGCGCTCGCCGCGCGGGTCCTCGACGTCGAGGCCCGTGGACGAGTTCCAGGCGGGCGAGTTCGAGCCGGCGGACTTGATCGACGCGAGGGACGGCCGCGGCGGCGTCGCCTTGCCCGCCTCGATGGACTTGCGCCGCTCGTGCGCGGCGTGCTCCTTGATGCGCGCGTGGGCGCTCTGGGCCCGGGGCCGGCTCGTCGTGCCGACGGCGGGCCCCGCGGGCCCGTGGCCGCCGCCGTGGGGCGCGTCGCTCACCTCGTTGGGGCTCAGGCCCATCATCTCGCGGAACTCGTCGAAGCTGATCTCGCCGTCGCCGTTCGCGTCCACGAGGTCGAAGACCTCCTGGGCGTGCTTCTTCGACCCGAAGGCCAGCTCCAGGTCCTCGACGGTGATCGTGCCCGTGCCCTTGACGTCGAACTTCTCGTAGGCCGCCTTGAGCGAGTCCTCCTTGAGCAGCGTGTGGTGGCCTGCGTGGACATCAACCGGTGACGTCGGGGCCACACTTCAGAACTCTCGAGCTCGGTCACATCGAAGTCTAGTCGGCTGATTTTGGGACGGATCGATGGCTCTCGGCGAGTTCTCGAAGCACAACGGATGTGCTCGCGTCGAAACATTCGCATACGCGCACATTGAAGTCGGGTTGCATATTTTTGTTTCCTGCCCTGGTGGCGGCGGAACGTCGCGGCGATGAACTCGTCGATGTCGAGCACGGCGTCGTCCTCGTGCGCCGAGTCGGAGAGCGACGCCTCGAGGCCCCGCAGGAGCGCCTTGGAGCTGCCGGCGCTGTCCGTCGCCTCGATCTCCGCGATGGCCGTCATGAGCTCGCCGACGGTGATGACGCCGTCGCCGTCCGTGTCGAGGAGCCGGAACTGCTGCTGCAGGTGGCCGATCTCCGCCTCCGTGAGCTCCGTCGCGATCATCTGGTGCGCGACCTTCTTCATGGCGTTCATCTGCTGGAAGCGGCCGAGGCGGAGCACGATGTCCTCGCCGTAGGCGACGAGCGCGGACACGTTCTCGACCTTGAACCACGCGTCGCCCAGGGCCTCCGTGACGCCCGGCCGCCGCGCGGGGTCCTTGACGAGGAGGCGCTTCAGGAAGGCGATGGCCTCGGGGCTCGCGCCGGCCCACTCGCGGTCCTTGAAGGGCGGCGGCTTGTTCCGGATCGCGGAGACGATCTTGTACTCGCGGTGCTTCGCGTCCTCGAAGGGCGCGTGGCCCGCCAAGAGCATGTAGATGATGATGCCGATGGACCAGACGTCGCACTTCTCGTCGTACTCGCCGTCGAAGACCTCGGGCGCCGTGTAGTAGACCTGGGCGGCAAAAGGGTGATTCAACGTCGCTTCAACGTGAGTGTTCCGCGCGCGCGCGTTCCGGAAAAAGCATCCGCGCTTCGAGACCGTTCCAAGAGATGATCGCTCGTCCAAAGATCAGCCGAAACGAGTGGAAAACGGCCGAGATACGAGCCTTTGAAGTTGGGAATTTCGCTCTCTTTTGCCGCCGCGTAGTAGACCGTGCCCAGCGCCGCGTCGAGGGGCTTGCCCCGGCGGAAGAACGTCGACACGCCGAAGTCGATCAGGACGAGGTCCGAGTCCTCGTCCTCCGTGAGGAACATGAAGTTCTCCGGCTTGAGGTCGCGGTGCACGATGCCCTGGGAGTGGAGGTACTCGAGCGCGGACAGCATCTGCTGCGAGTAGACGGCCGCGTCGACCTCGGAGAAGCCGCCGCCGATGCGGCCGAACAGCTCGCCGCCGCGGCAGAGGGGCATGACGATGTGCACGGCGTCGTTCGGCGCGTCGTCGAAGACGTCGAAGAGCTCGATGATGTGGGGGTGGTGCATGTTCGTCAGGATCTCGATCTCCTTCTGCAGCGCCGCGTCGATCTCCGCGGCCGACCGGGGCCCCGCCGTGCCCTTGCCTCCGGCGCCGTCGCGGGGCTTGCCGTTGAGTTGCGTGCCGCTCGGCGTGCCGTCGCCGTCGCTCGCCGCGCCCAAATCGCGGCCCGGCGGCCGCGGCGTGAGCGACCGCTTCGCCTGCGCCGCCTCCTTCAAATCCGCGTACATGGTCGTGCCGCCCGCGCCGCCGTCGCCCGCGTGGCTCCGCCGCACGGTCTTGACGGCGCACTCGGCGCCGGAGCCGACGTGCCAGCAGCGGCAGACCGTACCGTAGGACCCGTTGCCGATCTTCTCGCGGACGTCGTAGACGGACTTGAGAGGTATTTTCAACAGCTCCGTGTCGCGGCGCTGGCGCCGCGGGCCGCTCTTGACGCTCTTGTTCCGCGCGAGGAGCGCGTCGCGCATGCGCGTCGTCGACCGCTCGAGGGGCTCGCCCCGCGCCGCGGGCGCGCGGCCGCCGTCGCCGCCGGCGCCGCCGAGGCCCAGGAGGCCGGACATGAACTCGTAGATGCTGTCCATGGCGCTGTTTTCCGCGGGCTCCGGCGGCGACTCGACGGGCGTCCCGGGCGTGCGCACCTCCCGGGCGCCGTCGACGGGCGTCGCCGGCTCGAAGAAGGAGCTCATCCGGCCTGCGCTCCGGCGCCGCGTCGCGGCACGGAGCTCGTCGTCGCGCGCGGCGGCCTCGCGGTCTCCGGGCCCGGCGCGCCGCGGCCCCACCGCTTCGCGCTGCCGGACGCGCTCCTCGGCTGCAAGCACGATCGGAGCTCTATCGCGGCGCACTTTTTGCCCGGCGCGCTTTTTGATTCTTGAACACGGCAACATCGCCCCGAATTTTGTTCTCGTGGCGATATGCTTAGCCGCGGCGCAGGGAAGGACCGAAGGGGGAGAGAACAGCGAAGGGGGGCGTAGGGAAGCGTCACGGGAGGACACGACTAGGGCGGAGGCGTACGCGAGCACGGCGACGAAGAGGGCACGACGACGTAGGGCGGCTACTGCTCGTAGGCGACGCCGAAGGTCCCGCCGGTGCCGCGGGCCGCGCGGGCGTAGGCCGCGTCGCGGGCCCTGCTTCGCGGCCGCGTCCCGGCCGTAGTCGGGCCGCGGGATCGACGACGGGGCGCCGATGAGGCCGAGGCCTTCGATCTTGATCCGCGCGACCGCGCGCACGGAGGCGACGCCCCACTCGCGGTAGAGCCGCTGCTTCTGGATCGACTTCGCGTGGTCGAGGCTCGTGGCGCCGGCCTCGACCCAGGTCCGCTCCGCGATCTCCTCGGCGGCCATGGCCAGGACCTCGTGGGCGCCCTTGCTCAGCTCGCCGAAGTAGCCCGCCACGAAGCCGACGACGGAGCCGAAGGATCCGAGGCGGCGCTCGAAGGGACCCGGCGAAGCCTCGTCCGGGTAGAACTTCTTGTCGAGCTTCTCGGCGTGCAGGCGGTACTCGCGGTTGATGATGCCCGCGCGCTCGTCGCACGGCAAGGTGCCGCCTCTGCGGGCGGGCGACCGGCCGTAGCGCGACTTGGCGAAGCCGATGGTCTTGACGTCGGCGAGCTGCGCGGCGCGGCCGCCCGGCACGAGCTTGAAGTCCGGGACGATGCCGGCCTTATCCCGGGCCCCCTTGCCCGCGTGCTGCTCGAAGAAGGACGTGGCCGCGTCGGCGGGCACCAGGTCCGCGAAGACGCCGAGGACCTCCCGGTCGTAGGACACGCGCGCCTCGCGGAGCGAGCCCTCGATGACGGTCGCGACGCTGTCGTGCCAGGCCGTCCGCACGCTCTTGCGGTTCAGGATCCTGACGTCGGTGAAGAAGACGTGGCCGAAGGCGTCGACGACGCTCGACGTGTTCTGGATGCGCCTCGCGACGTGGGGGATCATGCACGGGCTCTTGACGCCGAAGTAGGTCGCGGCGACCTCGGCGAACTCGCCGTTCGTGAAGGCCGCGCAGCCCACCGGGAGCGTCGTGAGCCAGGCCCTCGCGGCCTGGTCCCGCGCCGCCTCGGCGGCGCAGTAGGGGAAACCGTCGATCGCGAGGTCCGCGAGCTCGGCCTTGTAGGCCGCGAACGCCACCTTGTCGAGCTCCGCCGTCAGGCGGTGCTGCATCTTGGGGACGCGCACGCCGCCGTCGCCGACGCCCGCGTCGGCGAAGGGCTTCGCGAGGAGGCCCTCGTGGTCCTCCTCCTCGGCCACGGCGGCGACCATGGAGTCCCAGGCCGCGAGCATCTCGACGGCGGTGGAGCACCCGGAGCCCGCGGCGGCCTCGAGGCCCGCGAACTGGCCCGAGGCCCCCTCGTCGAAGGACCCTTGACCCAACTCCGGCTCGAGCTGGGTCATAAAGCCGGCCACCGTCAACCCGCCGACGAGGCGGTCGACCATGGTCGGCAGCACGGCGCAGCCCGCGCCGAAGAACGCGGCGGCGGCGACGCCGACGCGGAGGCGCAGCCCGCCGCCACCGTGGCGGATCGGCATGCGGAGCCGCTTCCGCGCAAGATCGTCGGCCAAGATCAAAGGCCCGGCCTCGCCGAAGGCGTCGCTCGCCGCGCTCGTGACGGCCGTGTCGAAGTCCGCGAGGAAGATCCGGGACGCCGACACGTACAGGGTCTGCGCCCAGTAGTCGACGCGCGTGCTCATGCACCAGAGCAAGAGGAGCCAGAGCGCCTGCGAGGAGGAGGACCGGAGCTGTGTGGTGACTTTGTTGACGTAGCTCATCGTGTCCTCCAACTTGGAGGTGAGGTTTGACTCGACGTACTCGGGCTCGCCCATGGGCACGCCGGAGACGAGGATGCCGCCGTCGTGGACGACGGCGAACTGCTGGGCCCGGTCCTGGGCCCGGGTCAGGCCCGCGACGGACTCGCAGTCCGCGATGTAGGCCGGGTGCACGGCGAGGGCCGCGCCCAAGGACGGCGACCACGCCGAGCACTTGTCGAAGCGGATGGTCTCGCCGTGGGGCTCGACGGCCGCGGCGTACCGGCGGAGCGCCGGGAAGACGACGTCCGCCGGACCGGCGGCGATGCCGTCGTCGACCTGGAACCGGGCGAAGCCGCCGGCCGCCTGGAGCTCCGCGTCGAGGGTGACGGCGCAGGCGTGCGTCGCGAACGCGTAGTCCGCGCAGGACGCCGGGTCGCCCTGCTGGACGCCCTCGCAGGACGCGAAGTCCGCGATGCGCCCGTCGATGACGATGGGCGCGTCGCGCGAGTAGTACGCGTGCCGGAAGCGGGCGTAGGCCGCCAGTCCCGGGTCGCTGTTGAGCGCGTCCATGATCGACGCGCGGTGCACCTGGTTGTATGCGTTTCGCTTGTCGATCTTGACGTAGACGAAGTCCGGCTTCTTCTCCGTCATGGCCCGCACTCCGAAGACCAAGGCGTGGGCGCCGCTCGGGACGCCCACCGAGATCTGGACCGGGTAGAGCTTCTCCGCCATCTCCGCGGCGACGATCTTGACCACCAGGGTCGTGGACGCGCGGCGCCGCACGCCGCCGAGGCCGAGGGGCCGCGCGTCCGGCGCCGCGGTGCCCACTCCCAGCTTCTTGACGAGCGCCAGGAGGCGCACGGCGGCGTCGATCCAGTAGAGCCAGGCCGGCAGCTTGGCGTTCACGCGGTCGGACTCGAAGCGGTTGACGAGCGCCATGGTCGCCGTCGCCTTGATGTTGCCCGGGTAGCCGCGCGTGACGAGCGTCAGGTGCTCGTTCGGGAGCATGTCCGGGCCCGTGCCGGACCGCCGCGGGAGCATGCGGTACGTCTCGCGCAGGTCCAGGTCGAAGTCGACGGCGTCGTCGAGGTGCGTGAGCTCGGGGAGCGCGCCGTGCCTCGGCAGGTGCTTGTCCCGGAGCTGACCCAGGACGCGCGGTCGGACGTGTCCGCCCGGCTGAGCTCGCCGGTGACGATATGCGGCTCGCATTCCCGCGGCTGCCCCGCGGCGCGGTCCTGCTGCTGCTGCCCGTCGTCGGCGGCGAGCCGTGCGTGTCCTGGTCGTCGACGGAGCGCACGCTCTTCGTCGACGAGCACGAGCCCGCCGGCGAGGCGCCCTACTGCCGGCGGACGGCCTGCGGCGACGCCACCTGCGCGGAGGAGTGCTTGGTCGCGTCGCCGCGCTGCGACGTCTGGTGGCGCTACGTGAGCGCGGACGTCATCCCGCCCATCCCCGAGCTCGCCGTGCGGCTCCCCGGCGACGGCGGCCGCGGCGCGTGCCGCGTCGGCGCCGACGCCGGGCTCCTCGGCGTCGCGGCCGGCGCGACCTTCGGCCAGTGCGCCCTCGGCCCGGCGATCCTCGACGGCGGCGGGAACTTCGACATCCTCCAGGCGCGGCGGCGCGAGGGCGGCGCCGAGGACTGCGGCGACAAGGCGGCGGCGGCGGCGGAGCTCCGCGCGCTCGCGGCTTCCGCGCTCGACGGCGGCGACTACGCGCTCCTCGCGGCGGCGACGGGCGGCGCCTTCCCCGGCCGCGGCTTCCTGGACCTCCTCGTGGACGCGTCGACGGCCTGCGACCTCCGCGACGTCCTGAGCCCGAGCCGCTACGTGCCGCACGCGCTGGACGGCGCCGGGCTCCACGCGTTCCGCGCGCTCCTCGCGGAGCGGCTCCGGGACGCGCGCCTCGCCCACTACGCGCCCCCGGGCAGCGGCGCCGTGCTCGACGAGTGGCGCCGCGACGGCGTCATCCTGAGGGACTTCGACGCGATCGGCGGCGACGCGGGCCTCCGCGATTTGCTCGCGGTCGTCGCGGGCGAGCCCGGGGCCGCCGTGCCGGCGCCGCCCTACGCCTGGGTCGCGCGCAACGTCTCCGCGACGGCCGGCGACCCCCAGTCCGCCGCGCACATCGACAGCTTCGCGAGCGTCGTGAAAGTCTGGCTCTTCGACGCGCCGCTGACGCCCGCGCACGGGCCGTTGACGGTGGCCGTCGGCTCCCAGCGCCACACCGTGGACCGCCTCGCCTGGCTCCACGCCTACGCGACGGGCGGCGACGAGGCGCGGCGCGAGCCGTCCTTCCGCCTCCGGGGGTCGCCCGCGGCCGCGGCCGCGGGCCGCGCCTACGTCGACTTCTGCGACGCCGCCGCCGCGCCGCTGCTCCCCGTGGCGGGCGCGGCGCGCACCCTCGTCGTCGCCGACACGTCGGCCGTCCACTACCGCGCGCCGGGCGTCCCGGGCACCGTCCGCCGGTCCCACCGCCTCCGCGGCGACAACGGCGGCGGCCTCAAGCGGCAGAACCCGTTCCGCTTCCTCTCCGACGTCGCGTCGGCCGTCTAGTGCTTCTTTTCGTGTAACTTGCTTGTTTGTCGTTTGGCGCTCGTCATACGCTACTCTTACGACCTTCAAGTCGACCTTCGGGGAAGTCCTCGGGGCGCCCATGCTGTCGCGGGTGGCGCCGACGATTAAGCATCGGTGCACGGCTCGATCACATGCGGGACGTCCTCGTCCGAGCGACGACGCGCTGCTCGAGCTCGACGCCTGTCCTCGATCCGCCGCGCGGCACTCGAGGCGTCCGCAACACACCAGGCATGGCGGCGAACGTCGCCTACGGCGCCCCGGCGAAGAAGGCGAAGGTCGACGGCAAGGTGTCGCCGCAGACCGAGGAGGCGCCGAAGACCGTGTCCGTCGTCGGCCCCTACGGCCTGCTCACGTCGAAGACGCGGGGCCACCTCGGCTGCGACGCGGCGAAGCTGCGCGAGGCGCGCATCGACATGGCCGCGTGCTACCGCATCATGGACGAGCTCGGCCTCAACGAGGGCATCGACAACCATTTGACGGTCATGGTCCCCGGCACGCGCGACCGGTTCCTCTGCATCCCCTACGGCCTCAACTGGAGCGAGGTCACGGCGTCGAATCTGCTCTTATTGGACGCGAACGGCGACGTCGTCGAGGGCGACGGCCTGCCGGACCCGACGGCGTTCTACATCCACAGCCGCATCCACCTCAAGCACCCGCACGCCGTCTGCGTGCTCCACACGCACCAGCCCAAGGCGTCGGCCCTCTGCTGCCTCGAGGACATGGAGATCAAGATGATCCACCAGAACTCGTGCCGCTTCCTCGACGAGGTCGCCTACGACACGGTCTACGAGGGCCTCGTGCTCGGCAAGGCCGAGGGCGACCGGTTGGCCGAGGTCATGGGCTCCAAGCGCGTGCTCATGCACCAGAGCCACGGCCCCATCACCTGCGGCGACTCCGTCGCCGAGGCCTTCGACGAGATCTACTACCTCGAGCGCGCCTGCGAGGTCCAGCTCCTCGCGATGAACACGGGGAAGCCGACGGTGACGATCAAGGACTCCGTCGCGCGGTTCTACAAGGACCAGGTCGACCAGTTCCGGGGCTGCTGGGCCCAGGGCCACTTCGAGGCGCGGAAGCGCGCCCTCTACAAGCCCAAGGGCCTCGGCAACGCCGATTTTGCCTCCTGAGGGGCCCAAACGCCGCGACCGTACCCGGATCCGCGCGCCTCCCCGATTGGGAGCCGCGCGACCGGCTACGCATCCCCCCTAAAAAAAAACACCATGTCGAACGCGCGTTACTCCTCCCTCAGAGCTCGTCGTCGGAGTCGTCGAGCTCGTTGGGGTAGTCGCCGCAGGCGACGTTCTTGGGCCGCGCGAAGGTGCCGTGGTTCGGCGCGCTCTCGAAGATGGGTTTGCCCTTGATGGTGCCGTCGTTCTTGCCCATGGGGTCGTCGAGGTGGACGCCGACCCAGACGCCCGGCGGCATGCCGTCGACGGCGCCGACGAACTTGACGACGCCGCGGCGCGCGCCCGGGCTCACCTCGCAGCGGCCGCCCAACACGACGTGGGCGGCGTCGGCGTCCGTGGGGACGTCCGCGGGCAGCGCCGCGGTCTTGGCGTTGGCGAAGTTCGTCGCGCCGTTGGGCTTGGGCGGCTTCCAGTTCGGGTCCGCGGCCTTCTGCTCCTTGATCCACTCGCGCACCGTGCCCTTGCGGGCCTCGTAGGTCTCGTCGTCCATGCGGTACTTGTCGACCAAATCCGTGTTCTCGAGCGCGCCGTTGCGCGAGATGGAGTGGGGGTCGACGTCGCGGACGAAGATCTCCATGCCGGACGTCACGCTGTAGAAGCCGAGCATCTTCGAGTCGTCGTCCATGGCGCAGAGGTCGACGCCGCCGTCGCGGAGCGTGAGGCGCTGCATGTCGGCGGGCGTGCCGTGGTGGAGGTGGAGCCGCGCCTTGACCTCGCCGACGGTCTGGTGGAGGTCGAAGCGGAGCTCGAGCATCTTCTGGCTCAAATTGCTGTGGGACACGTTGACGGCGACCATGCCCTCGGGCAGCAGGCTCCACTGCTCGTCGTCGCGCGCCGTGACCCAGTCCTTGACGCCGCGCATCTGGTGGTTGTTGATGCCCATGGCCTTGACCTTGTCCGCGGCCTTGCTCACGCCGCCGTCGGGCGCCGCGGACCGCGCGCCGCCGTCCAGCGGGCCCGACGCACCCGCCGCCGCGCCCTTGGCGGCGGAGACCTTGCCCGTGACGGCGCTGACCTTGGACGTGCCCGCGGCCTGGCCGTGGCCGCGGCGCTGGCGCCCGAGGTTCTCGTCGAGCTCGCCGAGGTCGTCGAGGTCGTCGAGGATGGCCGCCATGCCTTCGACGGCGCGCGGCGCGGTCGGTGGCGTCGACGGCGGGGCGCGAACGGCGAGGGGCGGTGGCGACGACGCGAACGCGACGAGCGGTGTGTTCGAAACGACGCTGCGGGCGCTGCGCGGCTGCTTTGGCGGCTGCCCAAGCGAGCGAGCAAAGCGAGCCAGTGCGGCCTGTGGCAAAACGAGCTTCTATGGGAGGCTCTCGGGGCTGATTTGAGCCTCCGCGTCGTGGCCAGACCCATGGCTTCGTGGATCAAGGGCAAGGTCGACGGCGCCAAGAAGGTCGTCACCGATAAGGTCGACGACGCCAAGGAGGCCATCGCCATCAAGCAGGCGGAGCTGGAGGAGAAGGAGCGCGTGCGGAAGCGCCTCAAGTGGGAGAAGGAGCGCGAGGAGGCGGAGAGGATCGCGGAGTACGAGGCGTCGAAGCCGCGCCTCCCGCGGGACGTCGCCGCGGCCGCGGAGAAGGGCGACGTCGCGCGGGTGCGGCGATGGTTCGACGAGGGCGCGACGATCGGCCTGCGGACGGACGACGTCTACGGCAAGTCGCTGCTCATGCTCGCGGCGAAGCGCGGCCAGCTCGAGGTCATGGAGCTCGCCTTCGCCAAGGGCGCCGACGCGAACGAGTGCGACCACAAGGGCTCGCCGGCGCTGCACTACGCCGTGCTCTACCAGCGGACCGCCGCGGCCGCGCTGCTCATCGACAGGGGCGCGCGCGTCGACCAGGCCTCCTACACGCTCGGCATGACGGCCACCATGTACGCCGCCCAGTACGGCGACGCCGAGACGCTCCGGCTCCTCATCGACAAGGGCGCGAGCTGGTGGGCGCTCGACGACATCAGCCAGGACGCGGAGGCGCACGCGCAGCTCAACGCCTGGGAGGGCAACGGGTGCGAGGCGTGCGAGAAGATCCTCGCGGAGCTCCGCGAGGTGCGCTTCAAGGGCCAGCTCGGCCCGCCGGAGAAGGCCGTCTAAGGCGTCACTTAGGGAAAGAACTTCCGGCGCCTCGGCGTGTTGGGCGTCGGCGCGCGCCAGGCGCCGCCGAGGCCCAGGACCGTGAAGTGGGCGAAGATGGCGGGCTGACACTCCCGGGCGATGGACGCCGCGGACGCGCCGGCGCGGTTCGCGCGGAGCGCCGTCTCCTCGCGATCGCGCCGCGGCAGGCGGTCGAGGAGGCATTCGACGGCGACGGCGTCGCCCACGTCGACGGCGTAGGCCAGCAGCGTCGAGCCGTCGCTCTGCGGCGCCGTCAGCTCCGCGGTCTCGCACCCGGCGAGGAGCCCCGCGAAGCGCCACCGCGCGGACTTGGTCGCGTCGAGGGGCAGCTGCTCGGAGGCTAGAGCGTACCAGGGCGACCCCTCCCGGAGCTTGATGCGCGCGCGCGCGAAGTTCGCGTCGTCGGACGCGCATATGGTGCAGCCGAGGTCCGCGAAGCACTCCACGAAGCCGCAGGCCAGCGAGCCGTCGACGCCGTCGTCGTCGCCGCTCCCGGGCGAAATCCGGCCCGCGGCGCGGCTCATGGCGTTGGATGGCGATGTGCACTTCTCGGATCGTGATGTCCACTACTCGACAACGGCGTCGTCGTCGCCGCTCCCGGGCGAAATCCGGCCCGCGGCGGGGCTCATGGCGTCGTCGGGCGCTGCACCAGGAAGCGTGTCCACTACTCGACACCCATAAGAGGATCGAGAAGGCAATCCGAGCTATTATTACACTGCAAGTTGATGTGCATGATCACCTCAACATTGCACCATCCACAGCCTTCGCGCCGCGCTCCGCCTCGCCCTAACTCGACCATGCCGCACGGCGACCTCTCCGATGCTGGTGCCTTTTTCTGCTTCGCGTGCAGCGGCGTCCACCACTCGTTCGCGCGCCCTCGCCGTGAGGCGCCTCGCTCGCCTCGCCAACGCCGGTCGCCTCGCCAACCCCCGCCGTCGTCCGTAGGTGACGGGCACGGCGAGCTTGGTGGCCCCGCGCCAGATGTGGTTCCCGCATTTCTTCCCCGTGGAGCCGACGACGGAGCTCGTCGCCGCGGTGCGCTGCATCGGCGGGCTCTTGCTCATGATGTTCCCGATTCTCTTCGTCAATCGCTGGAACACGATCAACGGCAAGGCCGGCGCGCTCGGCGTCTGGATCGCCGCCACGACCTTCGCGAGCGTCGGCATGTCGCTCCACGGCCAGCCCAAGAACGGGTTCACCGTCGTCGCCGCGGCGTTCGTCGTCGAGGGCCTGCACCTCGCCTTCAACGCGAACCCCATGCTCACGTCCGCGATGCTGCTGGAGAAGGAGAAAGCCAAGGCCGCCAAGTCCAAGTAGGTTATAAAAATCGACCCCTAGTCGCTGTGGGTCACGGGCACGGACGCGGAGAAGGGTGCGTTCTTCGCGGCCTCCCGGAGCGCCGCGAGGATCGCGGCCTTCTGGGTCGCGAGCGCCTTCGTGCCCGGCGCGAGGTCGAGGGCCGCCGACGCGTCGACGAAGGCCGCGCGGTGCTTGCCGAGCGCGTGGCGCGCCGTCGCGCGGCGCTGGAGCGACTTCACGTGCGACGCGTCGATGGACAGCGCGACGGAGCAGTCGGCCTCGGCGTTGTGGTACTCCTTCTGCTTGAGGTAGGCCATGGCGCGGTTCGAGAAGGCGACGTGGTTGTGCTTCTTGAGCCCGAGGCACAGAGTGTAGCAGCGGATCGCGCCGTCGTAGTCGCCCGCGGCGAACTTCTTGTTCCCGAGCTCGCGCTGGGCGAGCTCCGCGTCGCGCGGCGCCTCCAGGGGCTGCGCGGGCGCGGCGAGCTCCTCCGCCTCCTCCTCCGACTCCTCCTCGGACGCGTCGTCGTCCGCCGCGGCGTCCGCCCCTTCGCCGTCGTCGTCGTCGTCGCCCTCGGCCTCCTCGAGCGCCTTGTCGATGTCGAAGTCCTCCCACTTCTTGTAGCCCTTGTCGTAGGTGTGCTTCGCGGCGCTCTCGCCCGGCGCCGCGCGCTTCGCGGGCTTCCGCGGCCGCGCGCGCGCCGCGGCTGCCGGCTTCCGCGGCGCCGACGCGGCGCCGCCCGCGGACGCCGCCGCGACGTGCGCCGACGCGCCCTCGGCGGCGCCGGCGGCCGAGTTGCGCACGCCGACGCGCGCGCCGCCGCGCACGGGCGGCAGCGGCGCCGCCGACTTCTCGCGCTGCTGCCGGTCCTTCTCGCCGATGTCCTTCTGCCAGCTCGCGAAGGACATCATCGTGTCGTTCTGCTGCTTCGCGTTCTCGCGGATCTGGTACTGCATGCGCATCGATTTCTGCATGTCGGGCGTCGCCATGGCGGGCGTTGCGGCGCGTCGGCTGGCGGGTCGAGCGCGCAGCGCTTTTGCCGGTGTTTTGTTTGGCGAAGGCATGATGATGTCATGATGCCGACGAAGCACGGATGATGGCTGACTAAGCGGCCGTAACGCGAGCGCCACGATGCTCTGCAGCAATGCGGAGGCACCGTGCAGGACCGCGGCGACGCCTGATGCTGCGACGACGAGCGCTGCGACGACCGCGGCGACGCCTGGTGCTGCGACGACGAGCGCGCCGCCGCCTCCTCCTCCTCCTCCTC